TCTCTATCCCCAATTGACATGTTTATGATCCAACAAGAGAAAACTGACAACAAAGACTGCATACAATAAACAAGCAAATCATACACTGTGCTAGATATGTTGTACAGAAAAAGGGGGTTCAAGAACCATGGGTGAGGGTGGGGAAGGATACAATGAAACGGGAGAAGCAATATTTGAGCAAACTTGGGGAGATATTTGGGAATCACAGGGCTACCTGGAAGAGGAAACAGCTGAGGAGAGGCTGAGGCGGGAACATCCAAGGACAGTAAGGCAGCCAGGCATGGAGGAGGTGAGTCAGAGCGGGCCAGCCAGATAGGGTGGGGCCTTGAGGGCCATTGTTAAATGGGTATGAGTGAGAGGGGCCTGCAGGTGTCTTCAACAAATACTCAGCCCTTAGGGATTCAAGGTGACACAGGGAAAATCCTTTGGGAGGTGATTGCAACCATCCAGGCAGGAGGTAGAAATGGAAGGATAGAGGCGGGAGGAATATGAGCTCTGCCCAGACAGACAGTAAAGAGGGAGGCAACCAGGTTTCTTCACAGGTCTTGGATGGTGGATGCAGGAGAAAAACAACAGCCCAGATGCCCCCAAAGCCAAACCTGAGCCCTGGGAGGATAAAGTCCCCACCAACTGAGATGGGCAGGTTCTGGTGCCGCAGACAGGGGTGCTGGAGAGCAGAGAGAGAAACCCAGGAACTCATCTGGGACGTCTATTAGAGAGGGCGCGTGGGCCCTGGAACTCCGCCCAAGGGCTTTGGTGGAGGGGCTGGACTGGGATGTGTGCCAGGGAATATGGGCACGTGGTGTGCGGAGGAGCAGGAGACCACGTGAGGCCCCCAAGGGTCTGCGTGTGGACAGAGAAGAAAAGGGGCCGATGACCTGAGGCTGGGGGACTCCAGGGACAAGAGGTCTTGAAGGAGAGGCAGAACCAGCAGAGGGGCCCAAGGGAGAGGCCGAGTGCGCTGGCTCTGGTCACTGGCAGGTGACCTGGTAGGATGCGTCTCACTTCCTGTGATCCTCCCTCCTCTCCGCTTCCCGACCTCCAGGAGACAGTGGCGGCGGCCACACCCTTCCGCCTTGCTGTTTCTGCCTCGGAGCCATACAACCAGGCACTGAAACGTGAACCGAAATAAACCTCTCTTCCTTTAAACTGTGGGTGTGGGGTATTGTGTCCCAGAGACAAGAGACAGACGGAGACAGATGTGAGGGTGGCAGAACAGATACAACCAGTCAAATGCTTCGAGGACACCATTGTGTTGCTAGGCAACCCCACTCCACGCCCTCCCCAGGACGGGAGCCAGTAAACATCCTATACTAGGTGACTTGAGTTAGCATCTCGGCTATTTACAGCCAGAAACATCTAAGAAACCCTGGCCTCCTCCTTTTCCCGCTCTCCATGTACCCACGCATGACACTGTGGCCCCGCATCTGGTGACACATCATCCCCACTACTGGACTATGAGCCCCCTGACCACCCCGGGTCTCAGACTCCCTCGTCCATACCTAGCGCTGTAGCCGGACCAGAGCGGGGTCCCAAGACGAGTGTGATGGGGACAATCAGAGGATGGGATCGGAGCACATGGGTCCCGCCCGGCTACGGGTTTCTCCAGCTCCACCCAGCAGCCTGGCAGTGTCGGGGTGTAAACATGTCTGGGGTGAACGCCTTCGGGTGTTTGGGCGCACAGAGGGTTGGCCTGGAAGCCAGGCATCCACCAGAGCTGTGAAAGCAGACATCTGGGGTGCGCCATGAGGCTGAGGACCAAATTGCTCCATTCCACAAAACTGGAAGCTGCTGCCGATGCAAGTTTCTTCTGGAAAGAGCCGCCCTCTTGACACGCTCCCTGCCACCCGGCCACACGGGACGGGGACCTCTGCGCGATGGGTGGAAAGGGGTGCAGCTGGACCAGGGCGCCTCCCACGAAGGGGGGACCTGCCCGACACCTCCGGTGGCGGGGACAGGGCCTCCTTCCCCCTCGCCCCACGCTGCCTCCATGAAGCTGTTGCTGCGCCCCTTCCCGGGTTCTCAGAATTTGTCAGAGAAGCTCTGCGGGGGGAAGCGCTACCCAGGGGTTGGCGCGTGGACCTGGCGTGGGACCGGCCTGTCCGGAACGCCTCCTCAGCTGTCCTTCCTTTATCACGGATCCAAGTCCTGCTTTGTGCCAGGCACTGTGTGTGCCCCGAGCCAGGGCTGCAGCCTGGACATCACAGCGCAGCCGTGACCGCCCACCTGGCAGCTCCCCTCAGCGACATGCAGCAGCACGGAGCTCCGACGAGGAGGCGCACGCTGAACAAGTCACCTGAACATCCACACGGTGAGGACCTCCAGAGAGGACAGACACCCCCGGGGAGCCACGTGGCAGTGGCGTGGGTCAGAACAAGTTGACCAGTGAATAGGAAGCTCACCTGCATCTGTGCTAGGATTTTTGTGAGGGTTAATGCAATCACGCGCACAAACCCTGCCGGCCCTCACCTGGCCCTGACTAGCTCCTCTGGTACCCAGCCTGGGAGCCTGGGAGCCTGGGAGGAGTCTTCAGAAGGAGGTGGATCTTGGCCAGCTGTGGCCTGTGGGGCCTTCGGAGCAAAGCAGCTGCCTCCCACCTCTGGGCCCGGCCATCTCAGCGTTAGAATAGCAACTTCCACACACATGTCCAGCAGTCTTTGCCTGTGCTCCCTGAACTCAGCCCTAATGTCACCATCAAAGTAAGCAAATCTCCCAAATAGGACACTCCTGGACCCTGACCCTGGCCCGTCCTCCCCAAGGGCAGTCACCCCTCCAGGTCGCAGCTGAGCTGGCCACTGGGCAGCAAAGGACAAAGCAGTCAGGTGGGGCTTGGGGACCCTGGTCGGACACTGGCAAAGCAGCTGCTCTCCCCAGCTCCTTTCCCAGCCCTCAGGGAAAACGTTAACAGCAACAGAAGCCTGGGCCACCCTCATACTCTACCCAACCCCCCGAGGCCACTGGGCTACCCACGGGCAACTGAGAGACCTGGTCATCTGGATGGGCCTTACTGCAAGGGGACCGAGAGCCTGATGCTCTCTCTGCTGCCTCAGTTTCCCTATAAGCCTGGGGTAGAGCACTGAGGATAGTTGGAAGTGAAGAGTTCTCTAGGGTGGAGTCTGTGCTCTGAAGGCACATTAGAGTCCAGGTGATGGGCCAGCAAAGGCAGAGGAGTTTCTGGGGACAGGACCAAGGAGCACTGAGGATAGTTGGAAGTGAAGAGTTCTCTAGGGTGGAGTCTGTGCTCTGGAAGGCACATTAGAGTCCAGGTGATGGGCCAGCAAAGGCAGAGGAGTTTCTGGGGACAGGACCAGCTTTATGGATGTACAGTTACGCAGTAACACATGGCCCCATACTGGGTTTCAGGTTGTATTGTCACAGGGAATTAAACTGGGACTTAAACCAAGGGCCTTCACACTAAGCTACACCCCCAGCCTCCTTTTTTAATTTTTTAAATTTTTTAGTCAGATTTGCTAAGTTGCCCACATTGGGCTCCAACTTGCAATTCTCCTGCTTCAGCCTCCCAGAATGCTTGCCTAAATTCTTTGTCGGGGGTTGGTACCAGGGATCAAACTCAGGCAGGTGGCGACACCACGGAGTTAAATCCCCGGCCCCAAATTCTTAATATTTTTTACACTAAGATAACCCCATGACACGGCCCACAAATCCTATAGCCAGTCCCGTCTGGGGTCAGGACGTTTATTCACAAAAAGCCTACCTGTCTGGGAAAGTGGGACTGGGCTTGGAGGGTGTTTTCTCCACGACGTAGCCCAGCCTGCACCTTCCCCAACTCTCCTGATGAAGATGAAGTCTGCTGAGGCCTCCTCTTGACTTTGACTTTGCCAGGTGGAACGTGTATTTCTGAAAGAGAGGAGAGATAGGGAACAGTCCTGACTTCAAAAGGTGGCAGGTGAAGAAAACAGAGGAGAGAAGAGGACCCGCTTCCTCCCACGGTGGCCCTGGGCGGCCTCTCCCACCGCGTGTGAGTGGCAGCAAGTCTGTGCTCCCCGGGCTGGAGCGTCCATTGGAGGTTGCTGTGGGTGTGAGATGAGAAGGGAGGAGAGCAGAGGAGGCAGCAGAGGAGGAGAGGGCGGGGCGAGAAGGCCTGGAGCCAGGAGGAAGGCTCTGCAGGGCCTCGGCCAGCCGGGGCAGCTGGGGCCGTTCTGGCCTGTGGCCCCCAGCCAAGAGGTAATTCAGAAACTCTTCCGATGGCTTCTGGTCCTGCGTGCCTTGCTCCTCCCAACAAGCCAGCCGCCTGGGCCAGGCAGACGCTTGGTTTCCACCTCCTTGATGCTGCCCAGCTGCTCCTTCAGCCGTCACAGCTGGTCCCGGGTCAGGCGGTGCCGGGAAATGAGCTGGCTGGAAGGGAGCAGGCCTGGGTCCCGGGCCAGGGCTGGGTAGAATCCAGGCTCTGGAGAAGAGGGTGGGAAGGGGACCCACCCTGTGTGTACTGGGGCCTGGACAATGTAGACTTAGCCTCAGGGCCTGCCTGAGGCCTGGCCTGGACCCCAGCCCAGCTCTGGGAAGCTAGGCCAGCAAAGCCTGCCCTTCCTGGCAGAGACAGGCCAAGCAGGAGCCAGGGCCCAAGGCAGTGCCAGTTTCCACACCCCAACTCCATCTGAAGCTGAGAATCAGGGCAGGAGGAGGCTTTTCCTCAACGTCTCCTAAGATCGAGGCTGCTCATCCCCTCTCCATTAAAATGCAAATTTCCTTAGAGGCCGGCTGTGGGTGGGGCAGAGTTCTTCAAGCTTCATTCCTCACCGTTGTGGAGGTTTGTGGCCAGCCAACCTGAGTACAGCCCAGAAGACAAGCACAGGATGGGTCTCCTGACCTGCTTATGCCAGGAAGGATGGGAGAATGCAAAAGGGCCAATGAACTTACACAGTTAGGCCCCAGGCAGCCTTTCCCTACCACCCCCATCTCAAAACCACACATCCGGGGCCGGGATTTAGGTCAATGGTTGCACTGCCTGCCTTGCAAGTACAAGGACCTGAGTTCGATCACTAGTACCAAACAAACAAACAAACAAAACAAAACAAAAAAACCCACACATCCATCTCTAGCCAGCTGGCCAAGGCTGCTTTGTTTCTGTGTATTCTCCGTTTTCTCACACAGGGAAACTGAGGCCTGGGTCAACAGCTAATTGACAGGGTAGCCACCTATAGGCAAGGCTTCTGCTGCCATCTTCCCAGAGTCCTCTGGACAGAGCAGCAATGGCACAGGATAGGGTGATGTGCTGTGATCAGGCTCCAACTCTGATGCTTCTTAGCAGCAGGACCTTGGGCAAAACTCTTGATGACCAGCTATAACTTTCTCGCCTGTTATATTAGTACGTTTTCCTATTGCTGGGACACAATGCCTGACACTCGCATTTTAAAGACGGAGAAGTTTAATTGGGCTTACAGTTCCAGAGGATTCAGTCTATGAATGGCCAGCTCAAAAGGAGAAACATCATAGCAGAATGGTGTGGTGGCATGAAGATGTTTTGTTCATGGAGGAAGACAAGCAGCAAAGAACAGCACTAGAGAGGAAGATACAGACCCCGAGGTCAGGTCTCTGTGACCCATTCAGACACATCTAGAATTGTGCCTCAGCAATCCCCTGGGTGGTACCCAGGCCAAGCAAGTTGACACAATCAAGCTTAACCCCACATTCCATCTCTTGTCCTCTTGATAGCCAAATGTACCTCCTTAAACTACACCTCATCTCCAGATAAATACAATAACAAATTAATAATTCTGCCTAACATCTCAAAACTATCCTGTGCACAATGGAGAACCCAATAAGGAATCTGAAAGACGCTGATCCCTTCCCCAAAGCCTAAACAGTTCCAGCATTTTTCAAAAGTCAAAGTCCAAATCTCTTCTGAGACTCAAGGCAAATTCTTAACTGTCAACCTCTGTAAAAATCAAATACAATTTATAAATCCCAAGGTACAATGGCACAGGGTAAACATTCCTATTACAAAAGGGAGGAAAGAGGGATAGAAAAGAATAGGTTCAAAGCAAGACCAAAACTCAGCAGGGCAAAATTTTGTTTGTTTGTTTGATTTTTTGGTACTGGCAATCAAACTCGGGACCTTGTGCTTGTGAGGCAGGAGCAGTGCCACTGAGCTGAATTCCCAACAGAAGGGCAAAATTTTAAGTTCTGTAGCTCCACATCTGGCATCCAGGGCCCATGAAAGTACAATATAAGTTCTAAAGGTCTTGGATAGATCCGCTCCTGTGGTCTTGCTGGTTGCAGCCCATATGACCTCTCTCCTAGAATGGCTGTGCTCATGACCTACAGCTTCTCTCTGCAGATGTTCTGCATGTCTGGCATCTCTGACTTCCTGGTTTCCACTACAACTTTCGCTCCATTCCCACAGCTTCACAAACTGCCGTCTCAGGGACTACCGACCTGGTCTCCCAAGCCTTCCTTTGAAAGTTGGGTTAAGCCTCCCTAATTCCACACTTCTTGCATTTTCATGTTGATGAAGCCAACACCATGTGGATGACACCAAGGTTGGCTGCGGGGGTGGGGCGGGAGTCAGCGGTCAGACCCGCTTAGAGGATGCAGCTACCTCTGGGTTCTTGGGTAGCTATGCACAGTGAAATGAATCCTGGGGAACCACTTTCCAAGGAGGCCCTTCTCAAGCAGGGGTTCCAGGGATAATCTTCTGATGTGAAAGTTTTAACACTTTTGCACTTTTTTGTTTGTTGTTTTGTTTTTTTTGTTTTTTTGAGACAGAGTCTCACTATGTAATTGAGACTGACCTGGAACTCACTATGTAGCCCAGGCCGGTCTTGAACTCACAGCGATCCTTCTACCTCAGCCAAGTGCTGGGATTACAGACATGTGCCACCACACTAGGCTAACACTTTTTGTACTCTTGAGCCTGTGATAAGTGGAGTCTTGCTGATTCATGAGATGCCCTCTAGGCATCTTTCTTCTAGTCCCTGTACAAATTCTTGGTTTCTTTTTATTGGCACTAATCTCTTCAGGGGGTAGGACCTTTGACCCTTTGACTCTCTACACATGGTACCTTTTAGGCCAAAATTTACGGTTTGCACATTTTTCTGCCCTGATTTTTACTTCAGTTCTCACCATAAATCTGGCTAAAAGAAGCAAAGAGTATCCATGCTGCAGCCTGAATCCTCCACAGCCAACAGGGAATTCTCCAGGACCCACTGCCTCCTCAAAGCTACCACCAGGAAGCAGGATGCAGGTCCCTTTGCTGAGCCATCCAAGGACCACTGGGGTGTCTGGTGTCAACCCTGCAAGGACACAGCTCTGCTTGGAGGTGAGGGAAGAGCAGAAGCTCTGGACAGTGTGTCCTCATATCTGCACACCTGGTGCAGCTATCCCCTTCCTGACCTGATGCCTGATCCATCCGGACTGGGTGAGACTGCATGAGCCTTCCCTGACCATGCCCCCATCAGTCCACAGGTAGATGGACACATAGCTATCTCCCAAGTTTAACATCTTTAGTCACCATCATGCAGCTGGATGGCCGAGGAGCATTCTAGGTTTAAGCCATGAGCCTGCCCTCACCTCTCTCACAACCCCAGGAGAGGGATGGAAGATGCAGCCACCAGAGGGGCCAACGCGGAGTACTCAGTGCCTCAAGTGTCCCCTCCTATGAGCTCAGGCTCACAGCCAATGTGTGGATGGCACAGCGGGAAGTGGCTTCTTCCTCTTCCAAGGAAGTGGGGAAGACAACAGTCTTTCTCCACTCCACTTGGCTCCCTCTGTCCCGTAGGGCCAAACTCCTTCCACAGAAGTCCTTGGGCTCTGCTCTGACGTCTCCACCTGCCTGCACAGTTGAAGCTTGACTCAGAATAGGAGACTGTGGCAGATAGACTGTTTCCCTACCTCCACTGCCTGTCACCTCTGTCACTTTACTTAAAACTCCAAACCACTGCGGGGGCGTGGTGGCGCATACCTGTAATCTCAGTGCTGAGGAGGCTGAGGCAGGAGGGTCTCTGTGAGTTCAAGGCCAGCTTGGGCTACACAGCTTGAATTACATAGGGAGACTGTCTCAATATTACATACTTCAAACATGTACTAATAAAAACAAATAAATATAAATAGACATGGAGAGAAATAATACAGTAGAGCAGAAGGACCATAAAAAGAAAAACAAAAAACTGAGCCATTGTTTATTTGTAAAACTGGAGCCACGTTCACACTTCCTTCCCAATACATCAGACCAGATGCTGCATATAAAGTTCTGAGGCAGGTCAATAGAGAGAAGTTATTATTGTGTGCTGCTGCTCCTCTTCCTCCATCTCCTCCCCGTTCCTTCTCCCCTACCTGCTTGCCTCCCTCTCCTCCATCCCCTTCTCCTCCTCTTCCTCTTCCCCCTCCTCTACCTCCTCCTCCCACCCTCCTCTGTGCCCTCCCCC